TCACTGTCCACTCTGCCTGTCAAAAACAAAAACAAAAACAAAACAAAACAAAACAAAAAAGGAATGAATGCTTCCAAAACATTTGAAAATAGCTAAGGGAATATATACCTAAATAGTTCATTAATTATATAGATCTCATCTTGTCAAAGTTAGAATGTATATTTTTATGAATAATCAAAATTTATGTCCTCTAATAGTATAAGTCTGTGATTAGAATCCACTAAGTAGGGCCGGCGCCGCGGCTCACTAGGCTAATCCTCCGCCTTGCAGCGCCGGCACCCTGGGGTTCTAGTCCCGGTCCGGGGCGCCAGATTCTGTCCCAGTTGCCCCTCTTCCAGGCCAGCTCTCTGCTGTGGCCAGGGAAGTGCAGTGAAGGATGGCCCAAGTACTTGGGCCCTGCACCCTATGGGAGACCAGGAGAAGCACCTGGCTCCTGCCTTTGGATCAGCGCAGTGCACAGGCCGCGGCGGCCATTGGAGGGTGAACCAACGGAACCAAGGAAGACCTTTCTCTCTGTCTCTCTCTCTCACTGTCCACTCTGCCTGTCAAAAAAAAAAAAAGAATCCACTAAGTAAATGAGATAGTCATTCCAGCACTATCTTACATAATGAACAGAAAAGAGAGGGAGAACTGAAAGTCATTTCCAGTTAGTGATCATGCATGATATATAAGACATTGCAATAAAAATTCATATAAAACTATGATGCTTTGTATCTTTATAATTACTATGTAGCCTATATTCTTTTTATTCCCACAAGACTTCTTTTGTTTCAGAAAATTGCTAAATTGATGTGGCTATAAAATGGAGTTGGATGTTAAGGAGAGAGAAACAGGCACTGAGACTTTGTGATAAGAAGAGGTCTTCTAAGACCAACATAATATTTTCTGGGTTTAGTGGAGCAGTCCAAAGAAGATGGAAATGGAAAAAGAGCAGTTAAACTAACCATCAGTGAGCCAGAAATCCACATGGACTTAATACATTAATGCTTCCAGGAGAACTGATTGAGACTATAGAATAGTGAAAGAAAGAAAAATGATTTTGTTTTTAAGAATTGAAGAAGAGACAAAAAAGGCTGAGAGGGTTGGGACATTTTTAAGTTTTCAAATTTACTGCAAACTTGAGAGCCAGAACAGAGTTCAAAACTCAGTTATATTACGATGGTGCAGAACTGTTCATAAAGAAATTCAGATTGGATTTTAGGTATAATTAGATAAGATCTTACTAGTTAAAAAATAGTCACAACTGTCCATGGTACCTATTCATACAGAATGGGTTAAAGGCAACCTGGATTCTGGAAGAGCTGTACCTTATTCATGGGCATAAGACTGAATTGCTAGTAAAAAGCATCTGGTGCTCTGAAATTCTCTTGTGAATATCACTTTCTCAATCAGGACTTAAACACTGAAAGGCATTAAAGAATCCACTATGTATCTCAATACCTTTGCCCAAGTATGATGGTCATTACAACTATTTCTTCTAAACGTTATACAAAATGGGTGAGTCCTGAAATAAGATTTAACTTATCTCACTTCAGATTAACTTTATAACTTGACAGAGTGAAATTTGTCTACAAGATTTCACCAATGCTTCAAGATAACAAGCAAATAGAAAAGGCATGGGAAAGAATTTACATAAAAGTGAAAGAGCAGAAAACAGGGAAAGGTGAACAGGAAAGAAAGAAAAAGTAAAAAATACACAGAAATAAAAAAGAAGGACATAATAAAACGGCAATTTTGATGAGATACAAACAGGTCTAAACCAAACTTGATAAGAATCTATTTGAATTCAACAAATACATGTTGAGTACCAACCGAAGTGTTAGAGAATGTTGGAAGAGCTAAGACTAAAACAGCATATAGTCCATGGAACTTGTACTCAAATATTCAATTGACTATTTTTTATGAGTATACTATGTCCCAGGCATCATCACAGGGACCCAGCATTCAAAATCAATATGTCAAAATCAATAGTGTTGTGCTAGTGGTGAGAGTACAATGCCATGGAACTACAGAGAAGAGAGTGATGGCTTGCATGAGGAGGTCATGGAAGGCTTCTGTAAAGGTTAACAAGGATCTAGATACCAACACAGGATCACATTTACCAGCTGTGTGACTTTGTACAAGTTTCAAAATCGCCATCACCCACTGCAGTATTGTAAAAAGACACAGATTTTTTCTAATCCTATGACAATTCTAATAAGGTTTGCACATCCAAATTCATAGATTAAAACCATTGAAGAAACAATCCTTCCCATTTTACTACCCACAAGGATGACTCAATCAGATTTTCCAAATTTAAGACAGTCTGCAATTGAGCAATGACTCTACACTGATCACAGTTCTAGATAAACAGGGTTGAGGCCCAAAGGAACATGTAAAAGAAATCAAAGACCTGCTCTCTGCTCATCAACTACAGCAATGATTAGCCAAACATAATTATGTTGGACATGGTACCTTAAAGGATACTCCCACAGTCATCACTCCCACAACTGTTTATAGTACACTGAAGTGAGTGAATTCACAATTTATCATTTTGTAGAGGGCATCCAATGCATAAACTATTTAAATATTATCTAATCTAATGCCTTCATTCAAACTGAGAGAAAAGGAATCTTAATGATATTTCCAAGTCATAGAACTAATTAATACAGTATATAATATAAACGGTTCCTCTGGCAAGTGAGAGATTAGGTTTTGACAGCAGGAGGTAAAAAAAGATGTTGTTTCATGGATATGCCTATGTTTCTGTTCTAAAGAAAAATGGTGCAATGATACTGGAATAAGGGGGAGGTGGAAAGGGTCTCTGAGAAGAAAGAAAATAATGAAAAAAACTAGTAGACACACATTTAGTTTTTTTATTTTTTCTAAAGATTTATTTTATTTATTTGAAAGAGTTACAGAGAGAGGGAGAGGCAGAGAGAGAGGTCTTCCATCTGCTGGTTCACTCCCCAATGGCTGCAACGGCCGGAGCTGCGCCAATCCAAAGCCAGGAGCCAGGAGCTTCTTCCAGGTCTCCCATGTGGGTGAAGGGGCCCAAGGAATTAGCCATCTTCTACTGCTTTCCCAGGCTATAACAGAGAGCTGGATTGGAAGAGGAGCAGCCGGGACTAGAACTGGCAGCCATATGGGATCCCAGGCTTCAGGCCAGGGCCTTAACCTGCTGTGCCTCAGCACTGGCCCCTCCAAACATTTAGTTTTGAACCTCAATAACCCACCAGTTCCTTAAATAATTTAAATGAAATATTGAGTCCAGAGAAATAGTTCCCATATTTATGCCTTTACATTTAACAGAAAGTTGGTTTTTCTACCTTAGTAGGAAAATAACTCACTTTTTCCCTCTATGTCTGACATATTACAAGTTCCTGACTAAATAGCTAATAAATAGCTGTAGACAAGTCGATCTCAAGGGACTCCCAAGGTACAGCTTGCATGTTTGTGTTAACAAGTCTAGTGTCAAAGTAGAACTGGCAATCTCAAAGGGAAATTGTTCTAAGCAATTCACATCTCCACCCATTGCAGCAGGCACCCCTCCCAAGTGTTTTGCTCATTCTAAATGCCATTATATAATGTAAAATTAGATATGAGCATGTCTATATATTTGTTAAATGTTTAAAAGAATGGCTAAATGTGGGTTTGTGATGCTGTATTTTATCTGCAAGAGTTCATTCTAATCCTATCAGCTCTTTAACAAAACTATTCTTAGAAAATCTTTTTGGCCGGCACCGTGGCTCAATAGGCTAATCCTCCGCCTGTGGCGCCGGCACCCCGGGGTTCTAGTCCCGGTCAGGGCGCCAGATTCTGTCCCGGTTGCTCCTCTTCCACTCCAGTTCTCTGCTGTGGCCCAGGAGTGCAGTGGAGGATGGCCCAAGTGCTTGGGCCCTGCACCTGCATGGGAGACCAGGAGAAGCACCTGGCTCCTGGCTTCGAATCAGCGAGGTGTGCCAGCTGCAGCAGCCATTGGGGGGTGAACCAATGGAAAAAGGAAGACCTTTCTTTCTGTCTCTCTCTCTGTCTACTCTGCCTGTCAAAAAATAAATAAAATATTTTATTAGTGACCCTTCCATCAAGTTTTGTCACCTACTGGCAACTCCTTTTGAAGACTTTGGCTTATTCTATATGTGACAGCAAGTCAGAACCCATGGACAGTTAAGGAAAATGTAATTTTCATTGAGATTCAATACAGCACATATGCAAATTTTCCAATAAATCACCTATTGTATCCAGGGATTGTTCACTTATCCCCTCACATGATATTCAAATACAAGGGGTGTGTGTGTGTGTGTGTGTGTGTATGTTGGGATCTGAAGGCCAGGAGGAGAAAATTTAACAATAAACAAGTAGTATTGGTAGAACTTAAAAGTGGTATCTTGAAGGATAAGTCTCAAATCATAGAAGTGATTTACAGAAAATGATAAAGCTTGGCCACATCACACCAGTTTATAAATGGATTGAATGAAGTCCAGAAACCTCAACGACTTTCTCCACACAAAACAAAACAAAAAAGAACCAGGGAAGGCTAACATTTATTACCTCCAAGATTACCAGTCCTCCTTATAACTAATGCTTATAGATCTGTATTTACCCAGTGACTTTAGAAACATTCTTGATTTACATTAGCAAATATTTTATTATTCCAACTAGATGATAAGCTATTCCAGCTATAGTCTATCTCCTATTTTTGTTACCTCTGCCACACTTCCTATTACCAATTCACCTTTATCTCCCTCTCACACTACTCATTTAGAGCACCAAGAACAAGAGCACACTGAACAACATTCATGACTTGAGCCTAAGAGGTGGCACTTTTTCTATTTTTTTTAACTTTATGTTTCACAGTCTCAGAGTTTTTAATGCAAATTCTGCTTTCTCAACAAAAAACTAGTATGATTCACTCCTATTTTATCAAAGTATGCAATCAGAAAATTGTTTACCAATCATCTCTAATGAAACTGTAAAATACTCTATATTTCTAAACTTTTCTCATTCTTTTTTCTCCCCAGCCTTAGGGAATTTTCATTATTGTGAATACCATGAAAAAACATTGGAATAGGAGATGTCAGTTAAGTCTCTTTTATAACTATCCCGAATGCTGTGATCATCATGGTAAGCATGTGCCGTATTCATGGACTAATGGGTGAATTTGCAACCCAGTGAATAAATGTCATAATTTAGAATCAACTTTGGGCAGACCACTTGGTCTTTTTAACTTGGTTCTGTCATTTGTGTAACAATGTTTTTGTAATCTATACTCTTAAAACAAAGAGATATGTGTACTTTAATGTGGTATTTTAAATAAAGCTATAATGCTGTAAATATATTATGATATAATTTAGTCACTATGACAACCACCGTTAATCCCATTTTATATCAGAGGAAGATTACAGTTTACTAAGACTATGTCACTGGCCCAAAGTCACACAGTGCAAATGTGGCAGAACTGATTCACAATCTCAGGTCCATCAGTGTCCATCAATACTCTGACCTCCCTTATAATACATCTTATTATCCCTCTTATTACCTTTCTAGCAATTTCTCTCCATACAAACTTCATATTACCAATCTACTTGGTTTATGTAAAGAGTGCATGAAATCTTGACCGTTTCAAATACTTTTCAAAGTCTTCACAGAAAGTATGCAGAATTCAAGAGGTAGGGACTGTTTCTTATCATTAACAGACCAAAGGTATGATTGGGTTACAGGGACACAGATAGATACCTCAATTTAAAATCTCTCTCTCTCTTTTGTGTGTGTGTGTGTGTGTAGAGAGAGACAGATATGGATGTAGATATCAGCACAGTACACGTTAGTGATGCCTTGTAGAAGGGCATGTACAACCCTGTATAGAGTTACATACCATGTTTCAAAACAGCTTTCCCTCTTTCCCTTTTTCTCTTCCTGTTTAACTGAAGGTTTAATTATTCTAGGAGTTTGACATATATTTGGATTTACAAGTAATGTCTTAATAGTGCCCTGCATACATTTTGCTATTTCCTAAAGCTATCCATTTCTGCTACTGAAAGAGTACAGTTCAGAAGCTACGTTTATTTTAATGCTTCTTTTGACCTACAAACCAAAGGTTAGTGACAAAAGGGTTACTTGAAATGAAGATTTCTTAGTCTTTTCTGATTGCACCCAGCAAAATGTGGTTTTAAGAAATGGTGGCATTGGGGCCGGCGCCATGGCGCAGGTTAGTCCTCCACCTGTGGTGTCAGTATCCCATATGGGTGCCTCTTCTAGTCCCGGCTACTCCTTTTCCAATCCAGCTCTCTGCTGTAGCCTGGGAAAGCAGTAGAAGCTGGCCCAACTTCTTGGGCCTTGAACCCACATGGGAGACTGGGAAGAAGTGCCTGGTTCCTGGCTTCAGATAGGCGCAGCTCCAGCCATGGCAGCCTTTTGGGGAGTGAACCAACGGAAAGAAGACCTTTCTCTGTCTCTCCCTCTCACTGTCTGTAACTCTACCTCTCAAATAAAATAAATAAAATCCTTAAAAAAAAAAAGAAGTAGTGGTGGCATGTTCTACTTTGAGGAAAGTGATATAATGTCCCAGACATAACAGTGACATAATCATTTTCCAGGCTTTTTTCACTTAGCATATGATTTCTTTTTACCTAAATGTATTTAGAAACAGAAAGACTTTATTCTACTTTTTAAAGGGATAAACTTGTGAAAAAATATGGCAGATTCCTTAGAGGTAGTCATTAAAAAGCAGTAGAACAAAAATGGATAAATTTTTGAAAGCTTTGGCTCACTTATCTAGAATTTTCCCTGCAGTATAATCCCAGTTCATTCAAGCTAGATTGGCCATGCCAACCCATTTGCTTCCATCCTAGTCCTAAGCAACTAGCCTTGTCTTCCTTCTATATTTATGCTATTATTTTCTTATACTGATGTTTGGAATGACAACCCAGACACAGAAGTATCAGGATCACCGAGGAAGGTCAAGTAGCATTTAATAACCATAATTCCGATGACAACAAAGTTAATGCATTTTGGAATTCCTACTCAGTAGCAAAGTTTGAAATTAAAAACTATTCATGAAATTCACTCTTAAATAACAAGAAATCCAACAAACAGAACAACCCATTTACCAAGAAATCTGGTTAATCTAGTGCATTTCATACTTGAATTCGCAAGTTCAGGAATAGCCTGCTGTCCCTGAAGTTAATTTTGGGTTGATTCATGTATACACAGGTATTACAGGGAAACCAGGCCAAGTCTTCCTGCAGAAAGCAGGTGGATTTTTATGGTTGTTCTGCCCACATGGTGGGAGGCAGGAGGAGACAAGAGGATAAAAAGAGGTATAAAGGCCTCTGGGGTCAAATGCCAAGTTCTATCGAGGTTCAGTTCACACTGCTCCACTTATTCAATCTGACTAAAACATGGCAGAGAGCACGGTGCCATGAGCCAGATGTAAATATTCCCTTTTGGAGCTGTCAGACTTTTTGGGTGGTTTACTAGCCTGACCTTCAAAATCGTGTTCATGACATTTATCTCAAGCCTAAAAGTTCCACGCCAGAGAATTTAAACTGTGTAAGCACAGAAATGGCAAGCTCTAACATCAAAGTTCAAACCATATTTTAAAAAATAAACTTTGTCTTACCACTTAATTTTAAATCGTGTCATTTTATAATCATAAGAGAAAGGTAGAATAAAAGAAAAAAATTGTCATTTCATGATATCAAATTTTAACAATTGAAATTTAAAATTGGGGGTAGGCATTTGGTCAGGCAGTTAAGACACTCATATCCCATATCTTAGTGTGTACATCTAAGTCTCAGCTCTGCTCCCAAGTCCAGCTTCTTGCTAATGTGCACCCTGGTAGCAGGTGATAGCTCAACTTCTTGTGCCACTGCCTCCTACGTAGGAGACCTGGATTGCATTCCTGGCTCCCAGCTTCAGTCCTGGTCTAGCCCCAGCTGTTGGAAAGAGGTAGTGATCCAGTGATGGGAGCTTGTGCATAAGAACACAGACCATTCTCTCAATCTCTACTCCCCTACACCCTTCTACCTCCCTCCCATCCTCCCTCTTTTTCTCTCTCTTTCCCACCTCCCTCAATGTTTATCCAAAAGCAAGTATACAAAAAAAGTAAATATGTTTTAAAAGATTCATTCTAAAACATTAAAAATGAATAATAAAATAAAACTGAATCTGGGGCACTAAATATCTTTTTATATATAAATAGATTTTCAAGAAAAACCTTTTAAAGTTGACTATTCCACATAAAGCAGGTCTTTTTCTTCCTGTATATGTTTTCTATTTATTTTTTGTCCTTAAATGCATCTAAAAACTCAGTCATAGGCCAGCGCTGCGGCTCACTAGGCTAATCCTCCACCTTGCGGCATCGGCACACCAGGTTCTAGTCCTGGTCGGGGCGCCGGATTCTGTCCCGGTTGCCCCTCTTCCAGGCCAGCTCTCTGCTGTGACCAGGGAGTGCAGTGGAGGATGGCCCAAGTGCTTGGGCCCTGCACCCCCTGGGAGACCAGGATAAGTACCTGGCTCCTGCCATCGGATCAGCGTGGTGCGCCAGCCGCAGCGCTGGCCACGGCGGCCATTGGAGGGTGAACCAATGGCAAAGGAAGACCTTTCTCTCTGTCTCTCTCTCTCACTGTCCACTCTGCCTGTCAAAAAACAAACAAACAAACAAACAAAAAAAACTCAGTCATAAAAGTAGACTATTTTCTTCATTCTTTCCTAGATATTGCAAGTGTTTTGACAGCCAAAGCTGTCTGCTACCTTTACTGTGTGGAACCATGAACCCTGAGCTACCCTCTAAACAAGGAAGAGGAATTTATCTTCAATGGTGCCATCCTGGGACAAGAGATTACATTTTGTTAAAATAAATCAATATACTTGCAGAACCAAAAAAATGAGTGCACCTATACCACAAGTCATGATGGGTAAGTCTTCCTGTACATTTCTATTTTGCCCTTCCCTGATTTGTTCTTCTAATACTACTTAAACTTCCAAACAGGTCAACAATAAACAGGTAGCTACTTTCTTATGGTGCACCCGTGCAAATCTCCCTAAGTAGCCATCTCTGGACCAAGAATTATTGCCTTTATCTCATTTTATATCTTCCACAGTGTTTGGCCAGTAGTAAGTATTTAAGAAGCTCTTGATCTAGTGTTTCTAATGTGATATACACATGTGTGACCAAAAATAAATTAAGGGGATTTTTTTTTTTACCCTTTGACCAAGATGACCATTTAAAAGAAGCAAAGTCAGAAAAAGGCAGAAAGTAAATCTAAGGTAAAGGTCTCCAGGCAATAAGAAGCAATCACACGGTTTTCCATATAGTGGAAGACAGAGTCCTCCTTGACACTTGCACTTAGCACCTCCTGGCCCACCGCACAAAGTGGGCCAACCAAGTAAGGCAATTATCCAGGTGACTCATGGAAACAAGCCATTTTTAGCTGGCATATCTAAGCAGCTCAAGCTAAAGTAGGTTGTTACCTGGGTCATTCAGGCAAAAGCTGTTGTTTTGTTTAAATTTTTCTGGTAGTAGGGGGAAGCTAGCAGGTCAATTGTACAAAAATGTCTGCAAGAAACTGTCTCACAATCCTGGAATTACTGCTTATGGTTTGACATTTGGGTTTCATGAACTACAGAAAATAGACCATTTAGTTGTGTCTTTTGTTTCTACATGTGCACACAAACACAGCTTAATCTGAAAGCAGGGGCTTTTGGTCTTAAGAAATTACCTGTGACCATCAGTGATCAAAGGGGAGAACTCTTGGTTACAGAATTCCTGATTGTTCAAGCACTGAAAGTCATTTCAATGGACATCAGTTGAGCTAAGAATAGATCCTGGCACCAAAAACTCTACCAAACTGATGGCTGCTGACTGCCATTGTGAGAGCAGAGGGCTGGCACACTGCTTCCCCGTCTCATGGTCTACCCAAGGGCTTTTTTGAAAATCTGCTTGTCTACATGTCCTGAGAGGGCCAGGAACTACTTTGCATTGTTGGCTCTGTGCAGCAGCATTGCTTAGACTTGTGTCTCAGTAGGATGTCCCATCTTTGATCTGCATACCTTACTCACCTTTAGCTCTAACACCACATGCTCTGTCAGAGAAACCATTGTATAAACCACTGTGCTTTTCCAGACCACAGCAAGCTCACTTTCAACAAAAGGGAGCAGAGAGTGATACCATAGGATTGTACAGAATGGAGAAGATTCTCCAAGCAGTAAGACATTTATACAATCCTCAGGGACATCTTTTGCCTACATATAGACTTTGGAGTCAGCCTAGACAGAATTCTGGTTCCTCTGTTTATTAGTAAAATGACTTTAGAAAACTTTTTTTAACCTCTCTAAGCCCCAATTTCCTTATCTGTAATGTTGGAATAAATATGAATACAGTATTACACCGCTGCCGAGAAGATTAAATGCGATAATGTCTGTGAAGCACTTAGCATAGGCATGGTATGTAATAAGCTTTCTAAAACGGTAGCTATTCGATGACTATCACCATTTTCTTACTAGTGCCTGAGGGATTCTCCAGCTTATTGCTCCTCGTGAGTGACATTTCTTCCCTGCAACGTCACAAAAGGAAACACGGATTAATAGGTTTTCCCCTTTCTTATGTAACCCTAAACCAGATAGAGGGCATTGATTGACATTTTCTAAGATACCGAACAAGCAGTAATATTAAGAAATCCAGGAATAAAATTCCTTTAGCCTATGGACAGATCTTCATCTTTTTGGTGTTTCTGATACTTAGACACAATCAAAGCCATTCTAGACTTTGTACAGCAGAGTTTAGAATAACTAAGAGACTAAGTAAAGCATCATTTTCAAAAACAGAATCAACAGCAAATGCAAGTTGTATGGTACATGTACTTCATGAATCAAGGTCTGAGGATTTGAGTTCAGGTTTTCAAGATGAATAAGAGGAGGAGAAAATTCTAGGTGGTGATAGCAAAGAAAGAGTCTTGATGATACTTGACACAATGACTATTAATTAAAACAAGGGGGATTTATTAAATTGCTATTTATTAAATAATAATTACTAATAAATGACTATTTATTAAAACGGGAAAACATGTGATTGCCAAAAAACAACCATGTGCCCAAAACGTAAGGGAATATTTTAGGCCGGCGCCGTGGCTCAATAGGCTAATCCTCTACCTAGCGGTGCCGGCACACCAGGTTCTAGTCCTGGTCGGGGCGCCGGATTCTTTCCTGGTTGCCCCTCTTCCAGGCCAGCTCTCTGCTGAGGCCCGGGAAGGCAGTGGAGGATGGCCCAAGTGCTTGGGCCCTGCACCCCATGGGAGACCAGGAGGAAGCATCTGGCTCCTGCCTTCGGATCAGTGCAGTGCGCCAGCCGTGGTGGCCATTGGAGGGTGAACCAACAGCAAAAGGAAGACCTTTCTCTGTGTCTCTCTCTCTCACTATCCACTCTGCCTGTCAAAAAATAAAGGGGGGGGGATATTTTATAACAAGACTTTTCTAGAAAATCTGGACTTTGCCGTACCTACAAGTGAGGACCATAAACCCGGTATATCTCTCCACACATATTAGAGCTTGAACTGTCTGTATTTAGTATGAAGCCTCTTTATATGAGACCACCCTTTCCAAAGATTAAGTCCCCATCTATATTAGAATGAACCAGGTATTCAGGCAATCTGAGTAGTTTCTGACAATGTTTAAAAATATGTATTATATGTTTCTGATTTTTGTAGGTATTTGCAGACAAGTTTTAAAATTCACCTCAGTTATATCACAGGTACATATCTCCTTTTTTAATTAAAAATTTATCTGGCAACATTTCCATTATTTGGCATTTGGTCACTGATAAGAGATCTGCCATTTCCAAATCCCAAAATGGAAGATAAATAAATCCAGCAGATTTGCTAATTATAAATCTTATCTATCACAATGACTTCAAGCTAAGAAGAATGTGGTCCTTCAATTACATAAAAATGATCTTGTCTAATGTCTGCAAAAATAAATTAGAATAAAATTAACTGAAAATATATGTTTTCAGTTAAAAAGCTAAAGGAAAATTACTTCCATAAACAATAGAATATTTTATTAAAATGCCATGAAGTCACAGCATTCATGACTATTGCTTTTCTGCTTAAAACCTTCCAAGGATTCCTTTCTATTCTGTCAAGTCCATGATGGCCAGGGTCATTTATCCCTTGTTCTCTCCAAATTTACCTTTTGCTACTTACCCCTTTGCTTTTTTTTTTTTTTTCCAGCCACATAGTACTTCATTTGATTTTATTAAAGGGTTAAATTCCTTTCTACCACAGGCCCTTTGCATGTGTAGATATTTTCACTTAGATATTCTGGCTTCTCACCCCCACCACCTCCCCCTACTTTTCCATTATTTTGTTAAACATACTCTTAGAACTTTGTGCTTATCCTTTATAGTGGATGTTCACAATCATAACTGATTTATTATATGAGTGCTATCTTTCTCCCTGGTTGATGCAGGTTTTCATACTTTTTTTTTTTTTTTTCGGACAGGCAGAGTGGACAGTGAGAGAGAGAGACAGAGAGAAAGGTCTTTCTTTTGCCGTTGGTTCACCCTCCAGTGGCCGCCGCGGCCATCATGCTGCGGCCGGCACATCGCACTGATCTGAAGCCAGCAGCCAGGTGCTTCTCCTGGTCTCCCATGAGGGTGCAGGACCCAAGGACTTGGGCCATCCTCCACTGCACTCCCAGGCCACAGCAGAGGGCTGGCCTGGAAGAGGGGCAACCGGGACAGAATCCGGCACCCCGACCAGGACTAGAACCGGGTGTGCCAGTGCCACAGGTGGAGGATTAGCCTATTGAGCCGTGGTGCCGGCTGGTTTTCATACTCTTAAATACTCTGAGTTCACTTCAAAGTCTGCTTATAGGAAACAGCACTAAAAGATTATTTCGGGGCAAAAAAGTTTTAAAATACCTGCATGTAAAGAGTCTCCAAAATGTTCATGGGGGCCAGCATTGTGGCATAGGGGGTTAAGCTGCTACTTATAATCTCAGTACCCCATATCAGAGTGTCAGTTCAAAACCTAGCTCCTCTGCTCCTAATCCAGCTTCCTGCTAATATGCCTAGGAAGGCAGCAGAGGATGGCCCAGGTACTTCAGGCCCCTGCAACTGATGTAAGAGACCAGGATAGAGTTCCTGGCTCCTAGCTTCAGCCTGGCTGAGACCTGGCTACTGTGGCCATCTGGGAAGTCAACCAGTAAATGGAAGATCTGTGTGTGTGTGTGTGTGTGTGTGTGTGTCTTCCTCTGTGTCTATCTTCCCTTCTCTCTCACTCTGCCTTTCAAATAAATAAATCTTAAAAAAAAAAAGTCTATGGAAAACACATCCTGTAAAAGAACTGCATGGATTTCAAAAAATTTTACATCAAAATAAACTTACCTTTTAATTATATTTTTATATGAACTTTTTGAATGACTCTTGTATTATTATTCATTGCTGTATCCTTTGCTCTTAACAAATAATTTCAGTATGTACTCACTACAAATTGATTGGCTAGTGGAATAAATACTAGAGATTTGAGTGAAAATCTACAAAATTATCATATTCCCCATAATGCAACTTCTTCCCTGCTTCACTAAAAGTATTATAATTGCTCCAAGAAGTTAGAACTCCTTCATAGGTACTCAGAGCAATTGATGTCAATAATCATTTTTTAAGTCATGAAAGAAAAGATTACTGTAACAGTTTTTAGTGGACAGAACTGCCTTGACTTAGATCTGTATACTATGAAAGCACCCAATCTTTTCATTAAAATTCCTTGTCTTTCTTAGTCAGTTTCAACTGGAATTCTGTCTTCCCTACCTAACCAAGCCTGTGGAAATAAAATACTCTTTCCAAAGTTGAATGTTAGTATCTTTCTTTGAAAAAGCAAATACTATCAACTGAAAAACTGATTTCTTATCAATTCTTATCCATTTTATCTCTTTCATCCTTTTTAGATGGTTATGATGTCACAAATTCAATGCTAGTGTCCCACCAAATGCTGAAGACCAAGAACTGAAACTACTCTGCAATTGTCCAAATTATAGTGAACATCAGATAAAAGGTTTGCTATCTCCTGTTCTCTATTTTCAGGAGCCATAAATAACCAAGCACAAGCAGAGCTATCAACTGAAGGCAACACAATGCATTCCAGAAGTCTGAATGGGAGAGAACAGTCTTGCAGTTTCAGTAATATATGTGGTAGTCACATGAATTATCTTCTTAACAATCCAAGCTGACCAGAACATCATGACCAGCCAAGCCTCCTCTCCTGCACACCACATTTTCCCACCAAAATGTCTACTATATAGTGCCACTATTATTTGCTCTCTCTGTGTGGTTAGCACTAAGAGAGAGTGGTGAACCAATCCTTTCTGTGAGATTTTTAAAAATAACCTGCACAATCATCAGATAATTCTCAAACTAGCTTGTCCTGAGACTCAAGACACAAGACCTTTTCAAATAAGTAAAACAGAAACATTATTTCCAACAGCCCAAAGAGAAGTGTGCTGATACTGGTTTCCTTAAGCTGTACTGTGTTCAAATGGAGTCAGTAGCACAAGCATCCCTCTGGCCCCAGAGAAGGTTAGCTCAGGGAACAGCAGCGTTTACACAGGATCAACTGCCAAAATGTGAGGTTGGACTTGGCCCCCTTCCCTTTCAAAAGAGTGGAAAGGCTTGTCATATTGGAGATTCAGTTAGACTTGATTCAACTATTTATTTATTTTTAAAGATTTGTTTATTTGAAAGATACCAAGAGAGATCTTCCATATGCTGGGTCACTCCCCAAATGGCTGCAACAGCCAGGGCTGGGCTAGGCCAAAGCCAGGAGATAGGAGCTTCTTCCAGGTCTCACACATGGATGCAGGGGTCCAACGACTTGAGCCATCTTCCACTGCTTCTCTAGGTGCATTAGCAGGGAGGTGGATCGGTGGAAGAGCAGCCAGGGCTCAAACTGGTGCCCAAATGGGGTGCCATCCTAAATGGGATGCCCAAATGCAGACAGTGGCTTCACCCACTGCACTACGGCACCAGCTCCTTGATTGAACTATTTAGGCTGTGATTAACCAAGATAAAGTGGAATTGAAATAACTAACTTTATTTATGGTTTTCTGGACTTCAATCCTATCCTCTTCCAAGCATGTATGTGCACATGTGTGCACACAAACACATTCAGAAATTCATCACATTAACTTATTTGAAGACATGCCTCAGATCTCTTTTAACATTGAAGTTTTTTGTCACCTTACCTCATACCCACAACTCTGGTTAGATTAGATGCTCCTCCCCTGTGTTCCACGGAACCTATGCTTGCCTCTTATCATATGACTTCTAATCGATTTTTAATTACCCATTTGGTTGCCTTTAAAAGACTATGAACTGTTAAATGACAGGAATATTATTTTACTCATCCTTGTATCCCAGCACCTAGTTTGTTTATGGTCAATAAGTATTTGATAAAGGAATGAGTTAAGAATTACACTTAGAGATTCACTTTGGAGTCTCAAAACAGCTGACAAGGTCACTCTTCTGAAGATGATGTGTCCTTTATTGTTATCCTGAAATCTACAGCCAGGGAGTACAAACCGAAAGCCCCAGGACTGCCCTTGGAGATAGTGCATCACCAGTGGACTCTCGCAGTTGGATTTCTGCAGTGGAAACTTAGAAATGCAGTGGGAAATGTTTTGTTCAGAACACTGACATTACCTCGATTGAACATTTTGCAGAGTCTATCATTTTCCTCTAACCCTCCCGTGGTGATGGGAGGGTGCTGCACCCTCATAACAAGGAGGCAGAGCAATCTTCCTGCTTCCCCACAGCATGGGGCATGGTTGCATGCCCCAATCCATATTTTGGTGTTTCTTTCAAATCCCCAACTCCCTGTCCACTGAGATTGCTCTTACCCACTCCATCCATCACCTACCAAAATCTAGTTCACCCTCCAACATTCTTGGAGGACACCTAAAGTACCTGATCTATAAATTTTCCCTTCTGGTAATCTGCAACCATCTCCCTAGCCAACTCCACTGCCAACACTGAAATATCATCTACTCCTTCAATTCCTTGACTGATTCCGCTCCAGTGTCTAACACCCATGCACCAGAGTCTTGATTCTATGGCTTGCTGCTTTCCCCTCCATGAGGATGCCGATTCAAAAAGCAGGAAGTAGGAATGAGACAGGGATTTGACTGAGTCTAGGAATGCTATACAAAACAGAAATTGGCTGTGAGTCATGTAAGAAAGAGAAATCAGTAACTCTTCCTGGACAAGGAAAACCAAGAAAGTAAGGATGGGCCCAAACTATCAAGTACAATGAAAGAAAGTAGAATTAGTCTGACAAATGAAATCTAGAAAAATGCTAAGATAGAATGAGTCACCATTTTTAGCATTTAGTTGCTTAAAAGAACTCTGGCAGCTCAAGGTCTCCTCTCATTCCCCCCTTTTACCCTCAATTATGCCTTTGGAGATAAACTTGAGTCTGATTGATCCTTTTTTTAGATTTCATGATGCTAATTGGAGAGAGGAGTCTAATGAATCAGGGTGGGAAAAAAAAGAAGTTAATCTATTTAGTCAAGGGCTTGGGAAAACTAGTTAGAAGAATATGAATGGGCTAAGTCATCTTTAGTGACAGAAGGGAGTGGTGGGTGGGAAATAAGAAGCTCCAGCAGTAGTTAGGAGAATGGCAAATGAAATGGAAAAAGAATTCAAAATAGGGTCCTCTTTACACCTTCTAAGGAATGCAAATGGAATTCCTCATTGTGTGTGTGTGTTTATCTGTGCTTTACTTGGGCTTAACTCATTCAGCCTCAACTGAATTACTTGGAAAGCAATGTGGACATTTGATATTAGACAGTGGATGAACCTGAGCAAGGACATTTAAGGTACAAAATAATCCTTAGAGTGCTAGTGCCGAGCTCCTGGGTGAGCAGAGAGCTGAGGAGGCACAGAACCAAGCTGGGCAGCCCCAACCTCCCATTGTTACTGGTTTGCAGAGTCCCAGTCCCTAACCTGGATCAACCCAACCATCTGTTTCTGTGGGACTGCTCCCAAGTTACCAAATGCAGTTGGAGAAAATTGGCTCCAAAACAAATTTATGATTTTCAAGCTCAGCTGGACCATCAGTGCTGCTCAGTGATTCTTTTACTTACCCATGATTGGTTCCCTTTCCCATTCTTAATAACAGCTGTGCCAATAATTTATCCTTAGTATTCAGGACTCCAACCCACTCTCTCCATTCATGCATTCATTCAACCATTCATGGAGCCCTGAGAATATTTCAAACACTTTTGCAGGAACTTGTCAAAGATTTTTTTTTTTTTTTTTTTTTTTTTTGGACAGGCAGAGTGGACAGGGAGGGAGGGAGGGAGGGAGAGAGAGAGAGAGAGAGAAAGGTCTTCCTTTGCCATTGGTTCACCCTCCAATGGCCGCCACGGCAGGCGCACTGCGGCAGGCGCACCGCGCTGATCCGATGGCAGGAGCCAGGTACTTCTCCTGGTCTCCCATGGGGTGCAGGGGCCCAAGTACTTGGGCCATCCTCCACTGCACTCCCTGGCCACAGCAGAGGGCTGGCCTGGAAGAGGGGCAACCGGGACAGAATCCGGCGCCCTGACCGGGACTAGAACCCGGTGTGCTGGCGCCGCAAGGCGGAGGATTAGCCTAGTGAGCCGCGGTGCCAGCCCAAAGATTGTTTTTAAAGTTTCAAATTCTTTAAATCACCTCTCGTCAAAAAGGAAAAGTCTATTTTCCTGACCACTGGATCTGTTCTGTCTGTTTGATTTCCTTTGGCCAGTAAATGTCACAGACATTATGTTACACTACTTTTAAGCAAGGTTTCAAGAGTCTCTACAGCTTTCTCTTGCATTCTTGGAAACTTGAGACCACCAAGCTCTGAAAGCCCAGATCTAGCCTCTTTGAAAGTGAAAAGCAAAATGAATGGAGACAGTCAAGTCATCCATTACAGCTTAGCCTAGCCAGCAGCCTACTCACCAGCTGAATGCAGACACCTTCGGCCAGTCCACAGAATTAACTATTATTGGTTATACAGCACTTTACTCTGGCTTGTGAATTGCTTTCCTGGTTCATTGTACCTGAGCTCACAGATCTATGTACTAGTCAAGTATCTTCTATTATCATAAAAAAAAAAACATTAAAATCTTAATGGCTTAGCATAATAGAGACTCTTTTTTTTCTAAATATTATTAGTTGCTGATTGGCTTTTTCAGGTTGTTGTTCAACATAGTTTATCATTTAGGGACCCAGATCTCTTTCACTTTCCATCTCCATTTTCCCTGAGTTCTCAGACTCCCTTTTATTGAGCCAGCAAATGGAGGAAGGAGGCAATGAAGAGGAGACGGGAAAAGAAGATGGTGGGCAATTGTTAAGAATCAAAAGTGAGGGGCCAGCACCATGGCTCACTTGGTTGATCCTCCGCCTGCGGCGCAGGCATCCCACATGGGCGCCAGGTTCTGAGACTGGTTGCTCCTCTTCCAGTCCAGCTCTCTGCTGTGGCCCCGGAGGGCAGTGGAGGATGGCCCAGGTGCTGGAGCACCTGCACCCATGTGGGAGATCAGGGTGGGGCACCTGGCTCCTTGCTTTGGATCGGCATAGCTCCGCCGTGGCAGGTGTTTAGGGGGTGAACCAGCGGAGGAAGGACCTTTCTCTCTGTCTCTCTCTCTCTATCTGTCAAAAAAAAAAAAAAAAAAAAAAGAAGTGGAAAAAAAAGTGAAATACAATACTTCTGCCCTCATTGTACTGCCTTGAATTCAATTATATGGCCACATTTAACTGCAAGCATGCCTAGGAAATAGTCCACGTACCTAAGAAGGAAAGAAAATGGGCTTCAGTGAACATAGTCTCTGCAACTGTGCATCCTTCTGGTCACTCTTTTTTCCAGGCATTAATGCTCTCCCCAGAAATGGCAACCCAGCAAGTCTAGCTCAACTAAGATCCTTAGGCATGTGCAGTCCTTTCCTGTGGGTCTCAGAGAGGTTTCATAGAGCAGTAATTTATGTGCTGTGAGTGGCAGAAAAGGAAGAGGAATATTGCGATAAAAATTGGCATTTA